CTAGACTTTGTATCTCACCACTTCGGGACCACCAATTGGTATCAGAGCATACTTCTCACTATCTACTTTTAGATTAACGAGAAGCGATCATAATGGTGAACAATATGGATCACGGTTTGCCCAAGTTTTCTCTTCTAGGTTATGATGATTGGAAGATCATGATGGAAGCACATCTCTACGCTCTACATGATTGCATGTGGATGGTGCTTGAGGATGGACCCTTGAAAATCCAAATGAAGAACCCTGAGAGGAATCCAGCTGCTCCAGACGTAGTCCAGTACATTCCAAAGCCCAAGGAAAAATGGGATGATAGAGATTGCAAAAAGCACAATCTGGACAACGTCGCCAAAGCAGCCATCTTCAAGACACTTGATCCCATCACCTTCTCCAAGATTAAGCATCTCAAGACTGCCATGGAGATTTGGCAAGGTCTTGGGAAGCTATGTGAGGGATCAGAGGACCTGAGAAAGCAGAAGATAGAAGTCCTGCTTGAGAAGTTCAAAAGCTTCAAAATGCTTTCCGGAGAATCATTTGATATGTTGGATGAAAGATTCCACAAGATATTAAATGATCTTGCTTCACTTAACCACATTCTTTCTCCCAAAGAAAAGAATGTAAGGTTGTTGAGATCACTCCCAACTGAGTGGTACACCAAAGCCATAGCCATGGAGAAAGGAAGAAACCTGGAGAACTACACTGTTCAAGGTCTCCTTGATGCGCTCAGAACCTATGAGCACGAGCTGAAGAAGAAGAAGAAGGAAGAACAAGTCACTCCCTTCCCCACGGCATTGACGACAACTCCAAGAATCCCATCAAGTGAAGGGACATGCACAAGAAACTGTGACACACCTTCCTCCAACCAGCCGTCAAGCTCAAAAATGGAGAACTACGATGAGGAATTTGCCATGATGGTCAAACAATTCCGGAAGTTCAAGAAGTTCTTCAAGAAGGCTGATTCAATCAGAAGGCCATCCAAGGGAAAGCCACAGGTAAGTGACTCCCCTCCTGAGTCTTATTTATGCTATAACTGCAGGAAGCCTGGCCACTGGAAGTCAGCATGCCCGTACCCAAAGGTGGAGAAGTACGGAGAAAGAGAAAGGAACGAGAAGAAAAAGAAAGCAATGGTTGCTACTGAAAGTGACGAGTCATCCAGCTCAAGCTCAGATGAAGAAGCCCTCGTCTGCATGGAACGCAGAGTTGAGAAGTCCAACCATGAGGATAGGTGGACTATGTCAGAAGATGACACTCTCTGCCTAATGGCCAAAGATGATGCTGATCAAGAGGTAACCTCACAAACCTCCTGCTCATCTTCTTATAGCATACCAACTTCAGAAAATATTTTTGACCAGTTCAAAAAGATGATGAATGACTTTGAGGAGATAAATCTCAAACACTCATCCTTAACAGAAGAGAACAAACTATTGAGTGAAGAGAATCTCAAGTTGACTGAAAGTCGGAAAAGTCAACTGAATGAGATCACTCAACTCAAGACTGAAAATGAATCTCTCTCTGAAAAGGTGAAATCCCTTAACAAAGAGCTAGGGATACTTAAGTCCCAAGAAGCAGTGAACAAGCTTCTTGAAACGACCAAACAAAAGGGTCGCAAAGGACTTGGGTTTGACCCCTCTAGTTCCAAAGGGAAAGGGAAAACAACTTTCATCCCTCCTAAACCTACTGTCAGATCAAATAAGCAGAAAGGGAAGGAAAAGGAGAAACCAACAGAAGTTCCCAAAAAGGTAGTCCCTCCTATGAACTATAGGAAGCTGGACAGACCACAAAAAGGAAACAATTTCAGAAGAAAACCTTCTAACCCCCAATATACACGAGGCTATACTCATTATGGGGTAGACAGGAGTTTTCCGAGAAATTCTGAGTGGAGAACTATGCAGAGATATAGTCATCCTCCATCTCAGAAACTATTTGTGCCACCTAAGTATGCTTATAACCGACACAGGTCACACTATGCACAACCTAGACAAAACTATAGGTCTTATCAACCTAGGTTTGCTAGGAGGAAACAGGAAATTGCACCTCCTGCACGTAGGATGTTTTATGCCTACAACTATGATTAAAATCCCAACAAGTTTAGAGCTGCAAGGAAAATTCCCTGCAACTTCAAACTTGATGTAGGGACACACACTATTAACCATTCCGGACCCAAACTGAAATGGGTACCAAAATCTTCCTCCTCCTAATGCAGGAAGCCGCTAAGTATCCAGGTGTCTGGTACTTAGACAGTGGCTGCTCAAGACACATGACGGGTGATGCGAGCCTTTTGAGCAATCTAATTCCCTATGATGGTCCAAGAGTTACTTTTGGAGGAAGCAACGATTTTGGCCTTACTAAAGGACTAGGAAATCTTGTGTACAAGGGACTAATCATCCAAGCTGTATCTTATGTTAAAGGACTCAATTATAACCTTCTTAGCATAAGTCAGTTTTGTGATAAAGGTTACTCCTTGGATTCTGCAAGGACATGGCATCTCTCAAGAACATCTCCACAAATGAAGTCATTCTCACTGGGAAGAGAATCAGGAACATCTATCAAGTGATATGGAACGATGTCAAGGAAGCATGTTTAATCAGCAAAGGTGACACTAACCTTCTATGGCTTTGGCATAAGAGGTTGAGTCATCTAAACTTCAAAACTCTCAACAAGCTATCTAAAGAAGGGTTAGTAGAAGGCCTTCCCAAAGCTGTATTCAGGAAGGAAAGCATTTGTGATGATTGCCAGAAAGGAAAGCAAGTCAAATCTACTTTCAAGGCAAAACCGGCACCCTCAACTACAAGGATATTAAGTCTTATTCACATGGACTTATTTGGCCCTGTTACACCAATAAGTCTAAGTGGAAAGAAATATGTCCTGGTGGTAGTTGATGATTACTCAAGATACACGTGGACAATCTTCCTTAACAGCAAGAAGGAGACTCAAGGGAAACTCACCAACTGCATGAAGCTGATTCAAAACCAAGCAAGTCAGACCATTCAGAAGATCAGATCAGACAAAGGCACAGAATTCCTGAATGAAATCATCATTCATTATTGTGAAGAAAACGGAATTCTTCATCAGACATCCGCAGCAAGGACGCCTCAACAGAATGGTGTAGCGGAAAGAAGGAACAGAACCCTAAAGGAAGCAGTGAGAACAATGCTAGCAGAAGCTTCCTTACCAAAGAGGTTCTGGGCTGAAGCTGTTAACACGGCTTGCTATACTCAAAATAGGAGTATGATTTATAAAAGGCACAACAAAACTCCCTATGAACTATGGAACGGGAGAAAGCCTAATATATCATATTTCCATATTTTTGGGAGCAAGTGCTTTGTGTTAAACAACGGGAAGAATCAT